ATTTCGGGACTGCTAAACAGAGCCTTGTCTTCCATATTGTGATACATCCTAATGACACAAAGGGCTAAGAATCACACAGTGGTCCAAGGCAAAGTCAAAGAACCCTTAAATTCTCCATCCAAGCATGAAGAGCAAGGGCACTGAAGTTAGGAACCATCCTGTTTTTATTCAAATTACTAAATGCTTTAACAAATGGTTCACTAAAGCAAAAGATAGTTTCTTACTTTTTTTTATTTTTTACCAAAATAATGATAAAATTACACAAGAAGGGTTTATTTTGTTGGTTACAATAAGTGCCACACCCCACTGGACATTTCTTAGATGATCATGTGGTTGAATCAAGAAGTCTAACACATTCCAGCCACACTTCTGCCCCACAGCTGCCTCCCCTACTGTACAGGAGCCTCCCCGTCCGATTTTCCTGGTTTCAGAGAGAGGTTTCCAAGCTGGTTTTATTGTTGAGACTCTTATAGCTGGGAACCCAGAATTAAAAATGGCCTAAGAATTTCAAAACATGAGTGCACATTATCAGAGAGTCAGAGTGACTTTTCAAATATCTTGAATGTCTAGTCATTTCCAAAGCACCGCCCTTGGAACCCAAGCTCTAGAAGATGTTGAGAAAAATCAGGAGTACAGTTTCTTGATATGAGAACTCTGATTGAGCAAACTTACACAGACCATCTTTTAATATGCTTTATGTAGCTGTGAGAAAAATAGTATGCTATGTTTGGATACATGTTGGTTGCGAATTATTCTTCCTGAAGAGCCATCCACAGAAGATGTCATAATGTACACTGGGAAAAGCGCCTCTCTTTCCTTATAAACCACCGTGCTTTCTGTAAGTTAATTATCTACTTGTCCTTTGTCAGCCTGTGTTGTTAGGTTCCTCTAGAATTCTATTCTATGATGAAATCCATTAAGGAAAGCTTGAACCCCCGTTTTAAAAAGTAGTAGAAAGAAAAAAAGGCCCAAAGGCTACTCTTTCCAGGATTAGCAGATCGAATTCTAAAGACCTCACTGATTCATCTTGTGAGTGGGGAGAACACATTTCACCCACCTCTAACTGGATCCATTTTTTCCATCTTATGGTACCATCTTGTTATCTAAATACACAGAGGTCACCATGTCTCTGTGTAACAAAGAGGCTTCAGATACTTGATGTCAATGTTTTAATGAAGCATTTCCATGACCCACTCTTAAGGCCTGGCGGATGCTGCCCATGTAAAATGTAAATGAGATGGGGATCTGGTCTCAGCTCCAAGTTCATGTTAAGATGCAGTTCTCCCCCCTCTCTCCCTGCACAGCACGGTGGGATGGAACTCTGCATACATTAAGGAATGGCAACCAGAGAGCTCAAAGGTCTCTGAGAGCAGCCACAGGGCCCAAGGATGGCAAGGCTCTGCCAGAACTCAGTGCTCAGATAAGTGCTGCCTCTTCCAAGCTCCCACTACACCTCATTGTAGAATTTGTTAATTTAACAAGCTCTAACAGACTCTCCCATCTGCATGGAAACAGAAATGGTTCTTCCCCATACTTATAACTGTTCTCCTTTGCATACAATGAGAGCAGTGGAGAGCTGGAATGGGGAAAAGACCAAAGTATACAGCTACCAGGAAGCCAAGCCAAACCTACCATCAGTAGCCACTGCCGGAAGTACTGGTTTTTTGTTTGTTGTTGTTTGTTTCTGTCTTCTTCCTTTTAAAGTTGATATATATTTATTTGGCAGGGTTCTGAGTGTATTTCTGAAGTCTTAGCATTTCCAATGTTGCTCCATACTAGAATTTATTTTGGGGCACACTACCTTAGAGGACTTAGTCTGGTGATCCTGTCCAACAACATGGACAGAAGTTGAGTTGTTGTCGTTTTGGGGTGTGTGTGTGTGTGTGTGTGTGTGTGTGTGTGTGTAGCACACTGACAAACTGTAAGTACTAGGAGTTGGAGAGACGGCTCAGTGGTTATTAGTCCCGGCTGCTCTTCCAGAGGACCTGGGGTTTGATTTCCACCCCCACCCCCCCACCACCACCATGTGTTACCAGACATACATCCAGGCAAATACCTATACACATACAATTAAAATGTAAAAAATGTAAATACTGGGGAAGTAATTCTATTATTGCATCTTTTTAACATACATATACATATATAGTAATAGACAGCAACCTTAATATAAATGGCCAACATTTTCCCATAAACTGTACCCTATTTAAAATGCATTATCCTTTTAAGACCACTATGTGGCATGTGACATTATTTTATCTAATTTATTTTGGGACAGGGTTTCATGCCCTGAGTTAGCTGGTCTCTGAAGGCACTCGTAATCAAGTAAATGTGAAAAAAAATAAAAAAGCAACAAAGTTGGCAGTCCTTCTCAGTATCCTTAGGAGCATCCCTCCTCCTGCCGCAGGTCCTGAGCTCTGTGTCCTTCCTTCGATTTACTTCAGCCTGTGTTGTATGTCTCTAGAGACTACAGCACTTGGCTCTGTGTCTCTGGGTCTCATGTGGCTGGTGTCTTGTACCACATACAATGTATGTATCTCATTAGGTGTCTTACTATTGTAGTCCCTATTTTTTCCTGAGACATCTGAATGTGTGTGCACTCTTTTCTTCACTCTCTTTTTGTATTTTTTCCCTCATATATATGCCAGTAGTGCTATGAGGACATATTGAACACGTGTACACCTGAACCACATCTGACAGCCTCCTGGGAATCTGGAACAGTTAAACAGGGATTTGTCCTGACCATCCTTAACTGGGGAAGAGCTTGTGAAATACACACTTCTGTAAAATATCCAAGATACATCACCTACTCATCTTACAGTCCAGGTTCCCACCTATAAAACACAGGGAGGCATAGAACTCTCTTGAAACATGCTGGAAATGCTATCATATAAATAAAACAATGTTTGAAACAGTCCAGCTGCTAAAATAGTGCCAAACAAATTTAAGGTAGGAAAAAAAAAATCTTGTTCCCTGAGTCTCTTGAAGCCACTCATGAGCAAGTATGAAACTTTTTAGGGGAAAGGCACAGTTGATCTGGACCGAAAGTGCAGTGCTCAGAAAGTAGCAATCCCTGAAACATGCTGGTCAACTTTCCAACCATGTTAGAACTTTCCACATTGTCAGATGATGCTGCATGAGCCTCTTAGCTCAAAACACCCTCAAACGTAGATAATTTGTGTGACATTTGTCAAAATAAGTTATTATTCATATTACAGCAAATTAGTATCAGCCAACAAAGCAAAGAGGAAAACAGTTATGGGCTGTAAACTAATTTCCAGAGAACAAAATTATATACATGCATATACACACCTATGTAATATATACAATTATACACACACACACACACACATATGGCATATATAATCTTGAGCTTCATAATTTTGGATTGAAAGGCTTTTTTTCTAAACATTTACTTACTTTGTGCACATAAGCACGTGTGCACATGTACATGGATGCACGCCATGGTGCATTTTTATGGACACAGAATGTGTGTCCCCGGGATTGAACTCAGGACATCCGTCTCAGCAGCAAGTGCTTTTGCCCACTGAACCATCTTGTTGACTCAATTTTGGGTGGCATTATGCTCGAGGGAGTTTAGAATTGCTCACTCTTACAACCTGGACGTTTCACAGGCGAGCAACAGGGTGCCGTTGGAAAGCTGCTGACTTCTTCAGACAGACCTGTGTTCCATTTGCTCCAGTTCTGTGGCACAATGCTTGGCATTTTCATTGAATTTTGAACTCATTGAGCCATTCTAGCTTTTAACTAATATTTTGGATAACATCAAAGAATGGGGGGAGGGAAGCTTTGTAGTCTGGATTAGGGCTAAAAAAAAAAAATCTATTCCTTAGAACCTAAAGCAAGTAAATCGAAAGAAAACTAACTCAACATGGCAGAGATAAACGCTTTTCATTTCAATAAAGATATTCTCAGTGTCTCAGAGTAACGCTTGTTGGATCTGAAATGCATTCTAGTGGCAGGGCTTTCATTGCGACAATTGTATGTCTTAAAAATTTATTTTTATTTTTAAGTACGAGTGAGTCTCTGAGTAGGTACACGCATAAGGGTGCAGGTGCTTGCAGATGCCACCAGAGGGCGTCAGACCACTCAGAACTGGAGTTAACAGCCAGATGTGAGCTGCAGAGGCCAGCAGAGGGCGACAGACCACCCAGAACTGGAGTGATGCTGCCTGGCAAGGGTACTGGGACTGAACTTGGGTTCTTTGCAAGAGCAGTACTGGCTCTTAATCGTAGAACCATCTCTCCAGCCCCAACCATTGTACTGTTATTCTGGTAACTCTGAACATTCTTCTACAAAAGGAAAAACACTTGTTTCTCATGGTAGCAATAACTAACTGCCCACCAAACTTTGTAAAAAAGCAGAACCCCATACAAACATTAGTAGCAAGTAGAATATTGTACCCAAAACAAATTTCAAGGGATTTGCTTGCTGTTGTCACCCCATAAAAACATGGGACTGAGTACAAGGTAAAATACACAAGAGCTTTAGAAAGGGAATGGGGAGGGAGTGTGCCTACAGGGCATCACTGTCTCACAGCATCTTTCTTCTCTGGTCCAGTCCCCGGGGTAACTGAGGAAAAGGCCCTTCGTGGGGCCAACTGCGTAGACAGTGAGTAGGAAGCATAGAGGAAGCAGACGGGGAAATGGTCGCAAGTGCTGACTTCAACGGGCTATCGATGTTTTATCCCTGCTAGCGCTGAGTACTGATCATTACTTGGTTGTTTCTGGAAGCTTCCATAGGCACCTGAATGATCTCTCTTGGTCAGTGTGTATCTAATTTCAAGGAGTTAAAACCTTCCCTTGTGAGGCAACTCCACAGCGCCCCCTACAACCGGCTGGTAGTTCTGATTTCTCATAAATAGAAGACCTTGAGTGCATGTTGCTGCCGTCATTTGACAATGTAGCCCCGAGCAAAGAGCCCTGAGACGTTCTGCTCCCCAAGAAGAATTACCCCACCCCTCCATAAATCAACAAGCAATACCAAGTCGATTTGGGTTTTATTTATAAATGTACATTTACTATAAAAGCTGTTGCGTCTTAGACAACTTTTCATTTTTTAATTTTTTTAAACTATTTCTCAGAGGCATTTTAGAATAAATATTGTAAATGAAAGTTAGTGTAACCAATACAGAATGTCACCCACCCAGAACAGGGACATCTTTTTGGATGGACTCACATCCAAAGGTGGATCATTTCAGCTCACCGAATCTTACATCATGTCCTGGTAACTAGAAATATGTATTGTGTTAATGAGGCTACACAGAAAGAGGGACAAATGTCATGAAAGTTTGCTAGTGAGAAACAGAGTCACCCATTTCTGACCTTGGGAAAGAAGCATTTGGAGTCTGAGAGGGGGGAATCAGCTACAGTCCCCGTAGGACCAATAAATCACTCACTTGCCTCGTCTGCTTTTTAAACAAACACATTTACATTATAGCTCCACACAACAGAGCATTTTTTTTCCCTGGGATCTCAAAGATTATTTGAAGAGAGATAGATCATAGTCTTTTATGCTGCATTGGAAAATGACACGATCTAGTCTGCTGAAGTTGCCATGTAACTGGCTCTAAATGAAATATAAATCAAATAGAAATACAAACGGTTGGCAATTAGAATTTAGAAGATGTTGGAGATTATTCCAGGCTGGTGACTAGTGTTCATTATGGGAAAGCACGTTCTACACTTGGGGAATGGGGCTTTATTCCTCTCGACTCCTCCAGTCTTGCTTCGGTATACACACAATGAGTCTCACTAAGAAATATGTATAGACAGCTTTGTGAAACCAGAGGAATGTGCAATACTCATGTGCTCCTGACAGAATGGATGGCCTTGCACATGTAAAAAGTATTCTACAAAAGTGGCTTATGAAGGACCGTATTGTACATGTTTCTGTGCATTGTTTCTCATAAAGTACTCTGTTAGTATCATGCAAAGTGTAAACATCCACGTTATTAAAATAGTTAATAAAACATGCAGGTGCTTCATCAAAATATTGGACTTGATCTGTACATTTTCAAAACTTTTTCTTTTTAAATTTTTCCTTTTTTTTATTTGTCTTTTAAAATCTTTTATTCATTTTTTTTTCCCTTGTAAAGCAGCAAACACCTCTGAGAGAAGCCACAGGAACCAGGGAGTGACTTCCTCTCTCTCTGGTGTTCTGAATCTGTCGTTCATCACCATGTGCAACAGCTTTGCGATTTTTTTTCCTAAGGCACAATTTTTAATGAAATGATGTGTGAATTTCAATCCAGTAACAGCTCGTCCAAATGACAAAGTGGCCAATGGACCTCCACTGGCCGAGATGTCTGCACCTATAAGGGACCCACATGCAAAGAACCGTCTAGCATGGAAATAAATAATTGCTAGCCATATTCCATAAGACACAGAAAAAGTTATTGCTTACATAACAGAAAAACACCTACCTGCTCTCTCTATACAGCACTAGCCTACTAGGAGTGTACCCATTGTCCCCATTCACCTGGCGTCATCTCCACCATGTTGCCATCCCTTTAAGGCAGAATAAATAGTTCTTCATTCCCCAGTCTTAAGGAAACTGGCCTGGAAGCTAAGTCATGATGGTTTAGCCACTGCATTCCTCTCATGTCCAGCTGAAACTTGTCACACAGGGCACAGAATAAACCAGGCTTCCGCAGGCATCCCTGTCTGAACTCGGCGAAATTCTCAAGAATAATGAAGGTGATTCAGGAGAATGAAGGTGCACACAGGTCCGTGGGAGCAGGCAGGGGCTGCCACATTGCTGCCATTTACAGATCAGGTTGCGGGCTTGTCCCGGTATACCATCTGGGTTCTGTTAGGATGACTTAATGCTTTTCTTTGGATGCCTGGGCTTCAGGCCCTCAAGGAGAGCTTTCAGGCAAACACGTTCCTAAAATGATGCCTTAAACCCACATCCTCATACCAAGCCCCTCACTGACAACCCCTAACCCAATGCTTGGAGAAAACAAGCAGCCCCAGCCTGAAGGCTACTATTGACATACTGTCCTTGTACATTATTCTTCCCCACAGATTTCACGAAGAGTTTGAAGACAATGGCTGATCTACTTCCTGTTTCTTTCTACCCTTCTGCCATGATGCAGGACAGAAGTCTAGCGGCATTGCAAGGATTCTCTTCCTTTGATGAGACCAGCCTATATTAATGACATGACTTCCAGGGTACACAAAATCTACTACTAACAGTGTGATAATTTATTGGTAGGACTTCTGCCCCCAAAGATAAGTAACACAAATGTTTTCAGGAGTACAGTATATATTATCAGACTAGTGTCTTTGCATTAAAAAAAAAACAAAACCAAGTTACAGTTCAGAGTCAGAACTTGCTGGGGTGTCTAGAAATGCATTCACTTTACGCTCCTATGTTGGCATGTCTTGCACTTCCTGCAGCTCAATTCTGTAAACATAACGTGTTTAATTTCTAGAAACACTAAAACACAGCAGGTTTATTGCACCCTTTCGCTAATTCCCAAACAACAGAGTAACACCTTTTCAACTAAGCCTCTCTGCCCATGCTAAAACCGTTTGTTAACCAATCAGGGTCAGCACAATGCATTATTCTTCTGTATATGCTGTGCAAATGCAGAAAAAAAAAACCATCAGCCCCTCCCCCCAACCAGGAGCACAAACACTGTGCTACAATACAAAAGAGCGGATACCACCTTGTAGGAGAGTCTTCCAGAAATTAGGTGAATGCCAAGAAGCCCCTGGACTTGGGGTTTAATAAAGCAGTTGCCAAGGGACACTCTTAGTAGAAGATGCTTAGAGACCCGGAAGCCCCCAACCATATCACAGTGTTGTAGGCTGGCCGGCACCTGTGGTGACAAAAACAGAAATTTGGATTAGTCAATGTGTCTCACTTCATAAGCTTCAAAAATCTCTGGAGTTAGCCGTACCCTCGCAGAAGTCTCTTCCTCACAGGGAGGGATGTCCTGGCCCACCCTGGAGCTCTCAGCATCGTGTCCAGGGATGGAATGTGGCCTCACCTGGGGCTTTGTTGGAACACAGAGTGTGAGCCCCTCAGACCCACACAGCCACAGTGTGCTTGTGCCTATGCTGTATGCCTGATGTAAGGACTCTGGATTTCCCCTAAATTAGATGAACCCCCCCCCCCCCCGCCTCAAGATTTCCAACTTGTCTTTTGCAACACTTAAGCAGGAAGAGGATTTTTTTTTCTCTTGAAGTCTTAGGTCAAAGAATCAATTCACTGAAACTGGAGAAATCTAAATGACCTGAGAACCTGACTGCTAGATTGAACAAATAAAAATACAGAGTACCTAATTAGTTTGACTTCCAGATAAATATGCAGATAAATATGTATTTTAAATGTGTATGTGTGTATGTGTGATATTTGGGACACACTTGTGCTAAATCTGAAGCATGCAGGATCTGGAACACATACGTATCGAAAAAAACAATTTTATATCTGAAATCCAAATGTGAGATTGTATTTGTTTAGCTGGGGTGTACTGGCGAGTGCCTGTAATCTCAGCACATCAGAAGCGGAAACAAGAGAATCGGGAGTCCAAGTCTAGCCTTGGCTAACATAGTGATTTTAAGGCTAACCTGCACTACAGTGTGAGTTTGAGTATCTATCTCAAACCAAGCCACTGCCACCACCACCAACCACCATTCCAATGGGGGCAAAGGAGATCCTTAGGACCCAGGTGAGCAAGTTCGTACTGATGGCACACACTTGTAATTTCAGCACTGGGAAAGGAGAAAGTGGGGATTCCTGGGGCCTGCTGGGCTGGCAGCCTAGCCAACTTGAGTTTCAGGCTCAGATAGACAAACAGATAGGTGAGCACATGCGTATACACACTGGACAGCACCTAAAGAATGACAACCAAGAACTTGCATGGGGGGGGGGGTGCGCGCACGCGCACACACACACACACACACACACACATGCCAAATAAAAAAACAAAGCCCAAAAAATAAAACCACCACCAACAATTCACCGCCATGTGAAATTCGAACTTCAAACAGTTCACCAAGCATCTCGTACTCTATCTGGTCACCCAGTCTAACGAGGGTCATGTTTTGAGTTCTCCTTGAAGATTTCAGAACTTGTCCTTGTTTTTAGGCCCTACAGTCATGACGAGAAGCACACACTGGAGCAGACCCGGGGGTGGGGGTCGGGGGGGGAAGAGTTAGCGCTAAGTGCATCTCACCAGAGAGCATGATGGAACAGAGCGCCATGTGCGAAGGCGCCATCCAAAGCCCAAGCACAAATGGCACTAGTTAAGCCTGTGATGGCCCGACTCACGATGGGTAATTTGCTTTGCACTTCCATTCCATTTACATATGAACTTAAAAACGCTTTGCGTGGCTTTTAGGACTTGCATTTGAATATGCTTTTGCCATTTTTTCTTCCAGCAGGGAAAAAAAAAGTTCATTTGAATGTGACTAGTTACTTGGAAAAAGCAGGATTAAATATTCAGGTTTTATTATTCCAGGGAACGAAGTGATTTTTGCTTCTCTGGACTGCCTCTGATGTAAACCACACTTCCTATCAACCTAACGCCTCTCCTCTCCATTCAAAGCAAAATATTTAAAAAGGAAAAAAAAAAAAAGAATCGCTTTCAGCCATCTTCCCCCACGCCATCTGCATCTGGGGACAGTCACCCTGTCAAGCATGTTTAAATTCCGTTAGCTAAATGACTCCTACTCACAACGTCACCCATGAACATTTATTTCTTAAGACACCAAGGAAAGAAAGGAAAAGTATTCTCATAGACCCTTGTTGTCTCATGTACTCAGTTAATCAAATTCAGCCTAAGATGATACTAAGATTTGTCTAGGAAAACAAACAGGAAAGGATTTTGAAAGAAAAACTTGAAAAAAAAGAAGAAAGAAAGAAACTAGAACATGTGTGGCTATTACTAGCCAACCTTAAAAACTATCATGATGCTACAATGATTAAAACCACTCAGGAATGGAAAATGAGTACATGTCAGACATCCAGAAGCAGATTCAAATATACACGGGGACTCACAAGAAAGCTAGCATTTCATATTAGTCAGAAAAAAATGATCATTAATGATATTCATATCACTGGCTAACTCACCTGACGGCTGCCTAATTTTTATCTCCAAATATATTCCTGAGTTTACAAACTGAAAGCCACTTTGGTCTTGTCTGTACGTTTGGGATGGAAAGTGCTGCTTTTTCCCTGAGTGGGATATAAGGCCTACAATATTAAAAGGCAAAGAATTATATATATTTTTTAAGTGAAGCAAAAGTCTCTTCTGTAAAAACAAACACAAAGTGAAAGAAAGAACACTAACAACCACAGCACGTGGTGAAGACGACACTAGAAAAATGTCTTTCACTTGTAAAGTCCTCAGTGGATCAGGTTCCAACAGGAGGGCACTGGGCAAAGTTCCATATCACAGAAAAATAAACAGAATGGAGGAAAAAACCATATGGAAAGAGGTTCACACAACTTGGGGCTAAGGGGAAGCCTTGATTGTCAAAGTTTGGAAGTGCGAAGACCTGGATTTGGATCCCTGGTACCCACACAGAAGCCAGACACAGTAGAGTATGTAACTCCAACACTGAGGAGTGGGTGGGGACAGGGGGTGGGGCGGGGGATCTGTGGAGTGGGCCGGCCAGCCAGGCCACCTGAAGCAATGAACTTGAGGTTCAGTGACAGACCCCGTCTCAAAAAAATACAGTGAAGAATGACCATGGGAGACATCTGCTGTTGACCTCTTGCCCCCACGCACACATACATGTGCACATGTGCACACATGTTTACTCCGCACCACGCCCACCCCGGTACATATTTAGGCAATATGAGTTTCTCCCTACCTGGCAGAATGGGTGTTTGTTTTTCAGTGTTCAGCATGGAGCCCTGCTCTCCCATGGCTCTCCCCTGGCCCTCCCCTGGTTCTCATGCACACTAATGAAGCACTCTGCCCAGAGCTTCATCCACAGCCCAGGGGTAAAATGTTAACAGATGAAGATCTGCACAGTTGGCATCAGCAGAGAAGGAGGAGGCTGGCAAGGCTCAGACCTGTTAATACAGTGTTGCTCTTGCTCGGTAGCTACCTGCCAGAGATGATTTCACCTGTTTATCCAGATACAAGCAAGGATGTTCACAGAAGTATCTGACAAATACTGTCCAGAAACCGGAAAGAAGCAGAGTGTCCACTCAGGAGAAAGAACAAGGCAATGCTCACAAGATACTAAGTTGAACACGGCTACACTGAAAACTCCATACGGAGCTCAGTCACCCTGCGAAGCGAATCCCAACACATACACAGCTAGATGCAACTCATGTACAAGTGTACGCGCAATACACAAACATCCATTCCAGCCCTCTCTGAAGAAATCTCAGGAAAGGGATCACCTCAGGGAGATTTTGGTCCCAGCTTAGTATGCTTCTGAACAGTTCAAAATCTCTAACCTTACAGAATTCTATTATTTATTTACTTGGCTGTTCTTTTGAATGTTATACAGGTTTAGCTGTGGAGACAGTGAGCAGAGAACAATGGGGCTCCTTTGCTTTCTTCTTGATATTTCTTAACACTTTGAAAAACACAAGTAAAATATTATATTTTGAGAAAAGGTGGTGGGTCTCATGTGTGTGTGTGTGTGTGTGTATGTGTGTGTGTGCACGAGTGTGCATGCATGTGCATGCATGTGCATGTGTTTAAAAATGGTGAAGGTAAGGCATGTACATGTATGAAAATGGCATAAGGAATATGTGCTAATAAAAGAAAAAAATCTATCATAAACAAAGCAAAGTATGTGTATAGTCTACCTTCAAATAGCTTACTTACTATAGGACCAGTTGTTCCTGGAACTCTCTAGCTCTTGTCTTTAGTTGGAATTAAAGACAGTTGCTGCCCCTTTACATTTGCATGTGTAATGGAGGTTCCTAGCCAGAAACCTAACTCCCAAAAGAAACCACTAACTTCTGAAAAGTCTGGATAGACACAGGCCACTGTGCCCTATAGGGGTGTTGAGGCTTGCTGGTGTCTTCTGAGCATGCTCCAGGGACCCTGGCAGATCCATAGATCCACAGTGGTTCTGGCCGCTGCCTTGATAGTCCCTTCCCTTGTTCTAACAGTGCCCTCCTGGGACTGTGATTCCCTTTCAGCTGCTGGATGGGATTGAGAAGAAAGGGTGACTCATAAAAATGACAGGGGGAAAATTGCTTTGGAACCTGGGAAAAAGGTTCTTATCCTCTCTTCCTAAAACACACACACACAAACCCAAAATGCACAAAAGCCCAGTTCAAAAAATACAATTATTATACATTACATGTGTATTTAGACATGTACATTTTTGAGGTGTATAAAATACTATTTAGACACTTCATATAGAATACAAGGTTTAACAATTAATGCCACGTGTAATCTGTGACATTATTGATCCATTGACAATAGCTCCAACTGCAACTTCATGACTTCAAAGGTTTGTCATAGACCCAGACAACCTGCATTTGACTTTTGTTTCCTCTCATTTTATTAACAGGCACATATTCGTCAGGATTCTCTAATGCACTGAATCTGTAGCTACAAATGGAAACAAATTAATTTATTTTATTCTTATTCTCCAATCTAGAAGCCAGTGATACAACTCTTCACTTATTTTGACAAATAATATTTTTGAATTTCAGACCCATTCCATCAATATAACTGGTGAATTTTCGTTAAGAGGTCTCCAGCTGTTAGAGTTTCTTCACTGTAAACATAGTCTACTTATTAGCAGTTTGCCACCAGCCAGTTTCAAGCTGTCTGAACAGTAGGACAGCAGCGCCCTCTCGTGGCTCTAAATAAAGCATTCACCTTCCTGAGGGGAGTGGTGGGCACAAAGTCTCCACAGCCAGTCAGTTCTTAAAATCTCATTATTACTGGGGGAGGCTCTCAGGAATCAACGCGGGTGACCTTAGCTGAGATCCTAGAAGTGGGGACATAGAACCTGAAGAGGTCACCTCCTGTGGCCAGGCAGGACCTCCAGCAGAGGGATAAGGACAGCAACCTACCTACAAAATTTTTGACCCAAAATTTGTCCTGCCTTAAAGAAAGTCAGGGTCAAAGAAGGATCAGAGTCTGAAGGAACGGCCAGCCAATAACTGACTCAACTTAAAATCCATCCCGTGGGCAAGCACCAATCCCTGACATTTATGATATTCTGTTATGCTTGCAGACAGGAGTCTAGCATGGCTGCCCTCTAAGAGGTTCTACCCAACAGTAGACTAAAACAGATGCAGATAACCACAGCCAAACTGTGGATGGAGGTCAGGGACTCTTACGGAAGAGTTAGGGGAAGGACTGAAGGCCCTGAAGGGATTGGAAGGGGGTGACTGAAGGCCCTTTAGGGATGGGAACCCCATAGGAAGACAAATAGAGTCAACTAGCCTGGACCCCTGGGAGCTCTCAGAGACTGAGCCACCAACCAAAGAACATACACTGAGGCCTCCACGACTTGCCGCACATAGGTACCAGACACGCAGTTGAGTCTCCATGTGGGTCCCCCAACAACTGAGTGGAGGCTCTCCCTAAAGCTGTAGCCTGTGGTTTCTGTACCTCAACAAGGCTGCCTTGTCTTGCCTCAGTGGGAGAGGATGTACCTAATCTGGCAGAGACTCGATGTGTTAGGGTGTGGGGATACCCAGGAGGGCTCCTACCCTCTCAGAGGTGAAGGAGAGAGGGAGGGGGAGGAAAAGGGGAGGGGTAGGAACTCTATGAGGGGGACTGGAAGGGGGCAGCATTTGGGATGTAAATGAAAACAAAGAAACAGATTTTATTGTATGCTAAGGCATGGAAGTTGCTGGCAGGGGCAGAGAAGCAGGGGCCATTACATTGTCCCTCAATGAATTTTCAAGTTCTTTTAGAACAAAACCATATCCTGCAATGAAACTCCTGAAGGGCACCACTCTTGTAGAGTGAGCACACACTCATCAAACCCTGGGCAGCCACTGTCCACATTCCACCACCTCCAACGGGTGCTGGCCCTTTGCAGGCAGGCTTCACTGAGGGACAGTGCTGCAGACCCTAACCCTTCTTCTGACCCCACAAGGTGAGTGAGCTCTGGCAGAGTCCGTCTCAAACCTGGCCTATAGTTTTTTTTTTTAACCAACAATGAGCTTATGCACTCCTGCATAAGAATCATTTTCCCACGGGAGCTGGAACTTCCTGTGAGAAGCAACTGGTTGGTTATTGGCTTTTTATTTCTTTGACAACCATCCCATGAATGGGGCTGGCTTTTTCCAGGGGCAGGGATGTCAACTGGAGGGAGAAAATGCCTGACTTCATGCACCAAATCTCTCTGTACTCACTTCTGGATCGCATGTAGCAGTCGGTACAGTTTAGGAGACCGTTGCGAATCCTAACGTCTGTCCCGCTCACGGCGTCTCCGAGCTGTCCTTTACAAATGCCGCACTAGGGAGGGAAGGCACAGAAGTTATGAGACGAATGGTATTGTATGTGTGCAGTGTGCCAGGGACTGCTTGTGGCGGTCTGAGTGAGGATGGCCCTTTAGACTCATTTGTTTGCACGTTTAGTCTCCAGTTGTGAAACTGTCTGGGAAGGATTAGGAGGTGTGGCCTTGTTGGAGGTGTGTCGGTGGAAGTGGGCTTTGAGGTTTCAAAAGCTCATGGCAGGTCAGAGTCTTGCTCTGCCTGTGGTCCAGGATGTAAAGTACTCAACTAATGCTCCATCCCCATGCCTGTCTGCTTCCTGCCATGATGGTCACAGACTCTACTACCCCAAATTGAATTGTGAGCCCCAAATTGAATGCTCACCTGACAGCAAACCAAGCTGAACAGCCCGTATAACAGGAGAGCTGGCATTAGAAGCTAGGCCTCCTCATTTGCACTGCACTGGTCCATCTACAATGCTAATTGATGTCTACGTCATCGGATACAAAGGAAAATAGTAGCAACTGAGGAAGATAGAGTCCTCACTCTTATGGAGTTTGGCATTTATTACAGAGGCTGATACCACAGCATAATAAGCAATGGGGACTCAGGAAGGCTACCTGAGAGTCTTCAGCAAAGCCAACTGACTGACCGAGCATGGTGGTGCAAGCTAGTGATCTCAGCACTAAGGATCACTAGGAGACTAAGGCAGAAGGACTTTAAGGGGATTGAGGCCAGCCTGGGCTACATGGTGAAACCTTGTTTCAAACAAAACACCCCAAGGAACAATAGGGGCAAATCAACAAACTTAATACAGGGCAGATGAACCCTCGGCTTCTCAGAGGGAGCGGTCATCCCAAGGTTTCAGACAGGCTCTCTGTGAGAATTGAAATCTTACAGCTAGCCACGGCCACTGACTGGGCAGGAAATATTCTATTAGGGCAAAGTCTAAAACCCCATCACAAAAATCGTAAGACTGCAAGAACAACAAAGATGCTTTAAATAAATCCTTTAGGCCCACAGGACTCAGAAGCCCCACTGTCTTCCAGCATCCAGTTGCAACTTCTTGTTACAATGTCTACTTTTTAGCAACAGAAAGTATTTGGAAAGACAAATTACACAGATCTGTTTTTCTTCTTCTAGAAGGATTTTTCTTCCCAGAGGGATTCAGGGTTGGAGTGCTGTATCCTTCAAGCTGGACTTGACTTACACATCTGTCTGCTATGCGAGGGGAGAGGTTGTAAGGTTACAGGAGGGATTTCTCAGTGCAGGACAAGGCCCAAACCCTGACATCAGCTTAGAGAGGAGAGTGCTGTGTACATACCCTGAAACACTGAATGTGAAAGTACAGATTCAGGGTCTCGATGATCATCGCCGCGCCTTTACCCAAAGCGAGTCCACAGGAGGAGCACAGCTTCTTCCCGCTTATAGACCTGGGGGGGCGGGAGGGGGAAAGGTAAGCACAGTGAGGGCCTTGGCTCGCACGGCAGGCAACCTCATGCAAAAATGGCAACGTGGATTTGAATAAACCATTAATAAAATGAGGATGACCAAACTGACAATGGATACAGAATTAAACAGAGCCATACACTGCCAGGAAGCTGAAGGGGACAGACTTCCACGTGGTGCCGAATTGGCTGTCTGGGGCATGCTGGGATGACTCGAGATACGTGTCTTGTGTTTACAGAAGTGCTAACTACATGAAGATTTAGCTTTACCAAGGTTCCATGTGGCTTCGGCAATGCCTTAGTTAGGGTTTCTATTGCTGTGATGACACACCATGTCCCAAGAGCAAAGTGGGGTTTATTTGATTACACTTCCAGATCATAGTCCATCATTGGAGAAATCCAGGGCAGGTTCTGGAGGCAGGAGCAGATGCAGAGGCCATGGAAGGGTGCTGCTTACTGGCCGGCACCTCGGGGCTTACTCAGCCTGCTTTCTTACAGAACCCAGAACTACCAGCCCAGGATGATACCACCCTCAGTGGGCTGGGCCCTTCCTCATTAATCACTAATTAAAAAAAATACCCTACAGCTGGATCTCATGGAAGCATCTCCTCAACTGAGGCTCTTTTCTCTCTGATGACTCTAGCTTGGGTCAAATTGACACAAAACCAGCCAGTACAAGCAGTTTCCATTAAAGGTGCATTGGCCTGCTAAGGTGTTTCCTTTTTTTACAAAGAGTCCATTGTGATATAGGAGAGGAGGATGCCTTGTGGAGGCCTGGGAGACAGGGTTCCCGCTCAGCTCTGAGTTCACGGAATACTGTTGCGTGCTCTGCTTAGGTCTCCCTTCTACCTACAGAAGGAGAGGGCTGGCCAGCCCATCTCTACTGTGTCCTCCAGAACAGACACGGAGTCTGTCAGGATAGGCACTTCTTTTCTGTCTATATTGCAAACTCCTAGGACTGAACCCATCTCCTTCCTTCACCTCCAGCCCTGACTACTGTCCCCTTGCCAGCACAGGGATGTCTTCTGTGGCCGCTACTGCTACCAGATCAGCTCCTGCCCACTGCTGCAAGGCTCTAGGAGAGATTTACAAGTATGCATTGCCATCTGAAAGGCACAGTGGAACAACACAGACAGAGGAAACAGAAAGGCAGACATCCAGAGGAGGAAGAGCTGTCTTCACCAAACCCTGTAGATGATTTCAGTCTATATAGTCATGAAAAGAAATCTGTGAAAACCACCAAGTCCTCAGTCATTTGTGCCTGTGACAGATGGACACCTAGGCAGCTTTTAAAGGTATCAAGGGGACCAACTAATGTCCAGGGCCAAGGTTAGTGATCTAGGGGAGGGCTCGAAGGGGAGAATGGAGTTTTTGTTTCCCAGCCTCTCCCTGGTTCTCTGGAGGAGTCAGCAGCCCATTGCCCTCTAAGGGTTGAGAGTCGTAGAGGCAGAGGCACTGTTGCAGGAGCCTGGCAACTGTCTGGTGGACTTTATTATCAGATTAGAGGTTCCACACAATGTCATTAAAACCTAATCACCACGGCCAGCACCACACATCTGACTTTTTCTACCCTATGCTGATGAATCTGCAGGAAGATGGAGATGTTCTCTTAACTCCTCCCCTCTGTGTGTGTGGGGGGAAGGCAAGCATCACTCGGCAAGCACTAATATGGCCGAAATTATGCCCATTAAGTGCAGGACCACAAAACAGCCTCGGAAAGGCTTGCTGACCTCTTGTACCTGTTTGGAGACTGGCCTGGAGGGGTAGGAGAGCAGGGGGACAGGGGCCCAGCCCGGAAGTTCTCTCGAGGGCTTTTCCTGTAACATGGTAAAGGAGCCCACAGTTACAGAAAGTTAACAGAAGCCACAGTAAAAGACATTTTTTTTAGCTTAAAACAAAAACAAAAAAGAGCACAAAGGATTCTCCTACTGACATCTTTGCTTATTTGTTTTGAGATAAGGTCTCACTATGGCGCCCAGGTTGGTCTCAAACTTAGTGTTCCTCCTGGCTCAGCCTCTCAAGTGTGGGGGTTATGAGCATGTGTTACCATGCTTGGTTGTTGTTTATTTTTTGCTTTGGGACAAAATTAGTAATTATGTCTAGAAGGAATGTGTGTAAATGAAAATCACACTGGCACTGCTGCTTAGGAAGGAGAATTCTGGTGGATTCTCCTTCACTAAAAATTGCTGGGCTGTTATTTATGCCACTGACAGAGCTACTTCTGCACGCTGAGTTTGACATGAAAACTACGTGGTTAGTGGGACAGAAAGATGACTAAAGATCCAGGGGAAACTCTTAAGGGCAGCCTAGAAGTTCAGGGGAGATTTAAAAAAAAATAAAAAATCACTTTATGGTAAAGATCTCTCAAATAAAAAAATATCACACAGATTCACGTGGCTACTTGAGCAAACAGGGCCCATCTTAGAGGAAGTGATTTTAAGTGCCACAGTCCCTGTCTTAGAGGCCTGCAGTGAATGAATGGCTTTGAGATTGTTTAACTCTCATTAGGCCGTGAGAAACCAGAAGGGCCATAATTGGATGTTGCCAGTATGTCATGCGGGCATAGGCAGTTCAGGAGCCCTATGTGGGATCAAGCTGTCGGCTTTGAAAAGTTTACTTCATGGGTGAAGAAATAGTTAGGACAGAGAAAAGAGCAAGAGAAGAAAAACTATAACACAGAGGCAGACAAAGTCTTTCTTGTCTCCTGGCTGCTTGACCAGCCGTGAGATCCCCGGAGCGCCTACCCAACCGGCCTCCCTCCTCAGATGGTACTTGTCTTCTCCAGGAATCCCATTTCCAAAATGTAAGCACCATGGCTTGAAAGAAAGAAAAAAAGCTGAAAACCACTGCACTATCCAACACAGGAAATCACAGTTAGTTGATCTGAGCTCCTGCCAATTCTGGAATCACAGATACCCAGCCGTGAAAATGGGAGCCATCCAGACAAAGGCAGCATCCGTTCAGCATGGTGCTGAGAAGGAAGAAAAGCTAACAGGGCATCCTAGGACCCACACTGCAGTGCTGGTTATCTGCCAGGCAGGGAAATCTGTGAGGAAGGTACCAGGCTCATTCCCACTCAATAATGGGACAACTAAGGCAGGAAAAAAATGAAGACACTTGCTTAAGGTTCTGAGTAAAAGGCAGAGACAAAATCTGAACCACAATCTGGATCTAAGCGGGATGAGGGTCAAGTAATAACACATGCCAGGATTTTGGAAGTGTGATTGCATGCCTTCACTATGGTCTTCTCATGAAGCTGTGCATAGATTCCTCTCATATTTAACCAGCCAAATTCTAACCTCCCTGAACTCTTCATCATCGTAAACCGAGATTATCAACCCTATAAGATTGTTGCTACCTGAGAGAAGCAGGTTTAAACACTTTAAGGACCTATTATACCACAGTGCTTCAAAATGGTTCAATGCAGGCAAGGCACAAAGATGCAGCTGCCATCTTGCCATCACACACCTCTCCCCGCCTAAGTCAATACAAAAACAAAACAAAACAAAAAACAAACAAAACAAAACAAAAACCAACCCCATGTTCATTTTATCTGTCTACTCACTTCCGCCTTTCCCCCGGAGACTCTATCTGATGATTGACGCTTTTCTCTAGGGCCAGGGTTCTGGGCTTCACATCTTCCGACATGGGTGTTGGTGTGTTTGATATCTGTTGATTCCAAGGTGGATCTGAGACCAAGGAAGGAATATAAGCATGTTCGGTGAAGTCATCTTGATGCCCAGTAAGACACCCTTTTTTAAAGAGCTGACGCCCACTGGTCCTTACAGTAATTCTGTGTGAGCTGTGTTGCACACATATCTCAGTCTGGCTTGGCACAGTTTACTCCTCAAGAGGAGTTTTTGGGGTGGAGGGAGGATTATGTTCAGTGGTGGAACTGGGAAACTTGAAGAATGCACTGTTTATGATGTTTTTTTTTTTTAAAAAAATCTTATCCTTTAAAAAAGTCTCCTTTTGATTTAAGAAAATTGTTATTTTGTACATATGGGTGTTCTGCCTTCATGAATGTCTGTGACCCTCGTGCATGCAGTACCCATGGAGGCCATAAGAAGGCATCATAACTCCCTGGATCTGGAGTTATAGACAGTTGTGAGCTGCCATAGAAGTCCTGGGAATTAATTGAACCTGGGTCTTCTGAAAGAGTAGCTACTGCTCTTAACCACTGAACCATCTCTCCAGCCCCTTCGTTTACATTTAAAAAATTACTTTGATTTATTTTGTGAGGAAGGAGCACATGCCACAGAGGCATACACATGTGTGTGTGTGTGTGTGTGTGTGTGTGTGTGTGTGTGTGTGTAGGCCAACTTTTCGGAATTGCTTCTCACTTTCCACTACCTGAGTCTTTGAACTCAGACCCTCAGGCTCTTTAAGCACTGAGTCACCTCACCAGCCATAGTTTTTATTTTTTAAAATGCTAATACCTGTTCTGGTCTCACTCAGACCTCAACGACAGAGTACAGAATCTGGTCTCACAGTGGGAGTTTATGTGTTACGTATTTAACAGAAGCTAAAGGTAAGGGCCCTTCAGGAGAAACTTGCAGCCACCAGAGGTCAGTTCTAGACAATGTGAAGAGTTGAGAGTAACTTAAATATTGGAATTTATCTCTTCATTCTTACCCTGAGCTAGCTGTGGGTTTGTACCACAGTGTGGGGCCCCAGCCTCTGCCTCTGGCTGCTGGTCTTGATGGATTCCTTTTGGCACGGAGTTTTCAGAGTTAGCCGAGGGACTTTGAATTAGGCTGCTAGAAACAAAACAAAACAAAACAAAACCCCCAAAACTTCAGAGCAGAGGTAAAACCAACTAGATTAAATTTATTGTTTTTATACCTGAGGACACGGAGCTAGCAATTATAATCTAAGAAAAAGAAATAGACTGTCTGCTTATTCTGTTTATTTTAAACTATATCTAAAAACCATTACAAAACACTATGCATTTTTAGTTCCCATCAACTTAACACATTCAGGAAACAATTATTTCTGAAGTCCTGAGGTCCTCCCTGCCCACCTTTCAAGCTAATCACCTCTGGGAGCTCATCTGAAGCTCCCAGATTTTCACAAGGGAGCAATTCCTATAGATCTCACGTGAAAGCCAGACACAGTGAAGCACATCTGTAATCCCAGCACCTCAGGCAGAGGCAGAAGGGTCACAGGACCAGATGGGGCTATACAGTGAGTTCAAGGCCAGCCTGGGACTGTACTGCAATAGACCATCTCCAAATAAATAGATAATAAGCAAATAACTGGGGCCACTTGGGATCTCCAAGCCTTTTGGTGGTTTCTGTGTGCTAAGAAAGGAACAATTTAAGGAGACGAAAGGAAAAGTTTCTGGTGACAATGAGACCAGTCTGAAGAAACCAAACAGCAAATTCACAGGCAAAGCCAGTCTGGAGAACTAGCAAAAAATGCACACGAAGTGCCTTTAGGGTCCTCCGAATCTTCCTGACCAACAGTTCTCACTTCCCAGATTCTGAGGCTGTGTTACTTGGAAACAAACGTTCTTCTGGAGACTGTGTTCTGTCAGACTTGGTGCTCAGTATCTGATGCTAGCAGCTCCCTCCACGAAAACCCTCACCAGAACTCTGCTTCCAGCCAATCCCTCACCTTGACCAGTTTAGGACACCTAGATAACCTTTCTCATCTCGGGGTCCCTCTGGGATGCTGTAAACGTGTTATGGGTACATGCATACTTGCTGATACCTATCTGGGATCTCACAGCCGAGACAAACATGTTTCTTAAGGATGCTGATAGCAGACTGCTGTCAGCTTCCTGGGCTTCTGTAGGTTCCTTCCAGATTAGGCATAGGTAACACTGGTAACCTGGAGCCAAGAGTCTGCTCCAGTCTGAGATACACTGGGATTTCTGGATTCATTCTTGGCTCTCCCATGGGACATCTTAGAGTCCACACGTGAAGTGACTTCCCACAAATGTTCTGACAAATGATTGCTTCATATTATAACTCATCCCAGCAGCCAAGTTTAGGTCCACAGCGGAACCATGGTAGGTGGGACCCCAGGACCTTACTTCAACTTCTTTTCTGGTTGATGCAGTCTCTACTTCAAGTGACTGGAAGCTTTGGGCTTTGGGTCAACAACAAGCTTCTTTGATGACTTATGCTATTTTCTTTATTTTGAAAGGGTCTAGCTTTTTAATTTTTAACATTATTATCAAAACTTTTAAATTTGATTATGTGCATAGGCATGTGTTGGATGTGTGTGCACACGTCATAACATGCATGTGGGGAGCAGAGGCTGACTCTGTGGAGAGCTGAGTCTCTCCTACCTTTACGTGGTATCTGGGGATTGAACTCAGGTTGTAGGCTTCAGCAGCAAGTGCCTTGACCCTCTGACCCATCTCTCTGTCTCTTAAAATTGGTTACTTTTTTTTGAGATAAGCTTTCAGTATGTACCAGAGGCTAGCGGTGAATCTATGATGCTTTTGCCACTTCTGTCGCCACACCTGGCCTCACCTATTAAAAAATAAGGCCGCATCCACAGAGAAGAAGGAGGAGGGGTGAGGGGATTGGGGGTTCTTGGGTGGGTGGGGGATGGGGTAAGGGGACAACATAGGAAATGTAAATAAAACATCCGAAAAAAAAAAATAAGGCCGCACATATTCAAGAGCACAGGGATGCTGACTTCAGAACCCACACAGCATCGTTAAACAACGTGGAATGCATTGTCAGATTGATCCTTTTAAAGCAGTGAGACCTCCCTCCACCCCCATCCTGGGAGTGAATGGTGGAGCCCAGCCTTGGCAGCCTGGGACGGACACACACCTGTGCTCCTCTGGCAGATCACCTTCTCTAGCTTTGAGCAATGAGTCACTGTCATTCTCCTGGAAAGGTGACTTCTGTCTTCTCTCTTTTTCTTTGTCTTGACAGTTTTCCAAGTCCATCGTATTCTGATGGAAAAAGTGGGGTCATTTTGAATATAATTTAAACACACTAGATGACTTTTGTGTTTGACGATGGACTATCTGAAGCCCAACTCCACTCCCTTCCTTTTCTCTGAATAATAAAAGTTTTTATCTTTTTGCTCTACAGTTTAAAGAAATGACTAATGTGCTTTCTGTTCATGTGGATGAGATCCACTGTGGGCTAGTTTACATGCCTACAGCCGGCTCTCATATACCACCCTAGTCTACTTCGGCCCCAATTCTGTTTTATCAGTCCTTCTGCCCACAATTCAAAGGATAATCTTCTAACCCAACAGAGTTCAATGATTTCCAAATACTTAGAACAAATGTGCAATTGAGATCTTTCTAAACACGATCACAAAGGGAACAAAATGAAGTCACGGGACTGCTTACTTCCAGACAATTGGACTCTGGTATCAATGCGTTATTTTACTTTGCACGTCTTGGCATGTTTCTATCTAATACGGCCCTCCACCGCCTTACTTGGGGGGCCAACCAGCCTTTACAGGCTTTCTCCATTCTCATGTCAAGTTGCTATGGACTATTGGAGGTAAGCAGCTAGTTTTGTGGCACCTAGTGGGAATTCACTGTGGGTGTGTCTGCTGCTGCTACAAAAATGCAGAGCAATGCATGGCATGGTGCGGAGGGGGCCATGGGGAAGGGGTACATGGGGGAGGGACAATTGGTTAGATGGTGGTGCCAGCAACCTGGGTTTAATGGCTGCATAGGAGCCGAAGGCTCTGGAGGAATTGCCCGACCTGGTTCGAAGTTACTAAATGTGATGGGGAAACCTGGATTAGGTTATTCATGTCACAAACCGGTTTTCATCAGTGACCTCACCCTTGTCCCGCTGCCTTCAGTTACAGACGAGGACGTAGACAGCTGGTCCGCAGAACTCGAGGAGATAGTGAATGGAACCACCGTGTCTTCAATTATCTTCCGCTCCTACGACAAAGACAGGAGTAAATGAGACGGAGAAAGACATTAAAAATAAAAATCTGTCAAGAGAAAGAAACATACATTCAAGAACTCCAGGTGGAGAAAAATCATCAGAACGTATACAAATAAGAAGGACATTAAAGAAATGTTATATTGTAATTAATAAATGAAATGACAGCAAGTGGGTAGTTGTTTAGAACTTCACATTGCATTTACAAGCTTTAATTAGTGTTGGAAAGGAACACGGTCAGGAAAAACTACTGTGGAGTTGATCAGTTAACAAGTTATCGCTAAAGGTAAAGTTCCCAACAATACTGGTCACAAAAATTTTAGATAACAGCCACTTCAGATACCCACCTCCAAATTCCGTACTGTGGCCTGTTGTTATGGTTAAAAATATTAAACAAGACGCAAATTTGCTCCACAAATTCCTCTACCATGGTATGTAAGCATGAGTAGTAAGCATGTACTTCCTTTCAGTGCCAAAATTATCCTACGAAAACTAATTCATTACTACCGAACATACTTGCTATAAGTAAGGGCACACACACAAATAAATTTATTGCTGTTTTCAATGTCGTCTAAGACAGATCAAGAATCAGATCCAGACTGGAGAACAGATGTGATTACAGTGACTCCCTGTACTCGGTTCAATCCACATGGTGGGTGTGGGTTACTGTGGTCTGTTAGAACGCATACGATGTGGTCCCCTTAAGGAGACTGATGGGACACGGCTGTGGGTACAGAGTCAGACAGGGCCACATGCACACACATGCTGCACACAGAGGGTGGGGCCAGACTTTGAAGAACCATGCTGACAGGGTTACATTCTCCCTGGGAGCTTCGTACCTCCTCGTAGTATCTGCGTTCTTCTTCTTCTACCTCCTTCTGGGCCTTTTCCCACTCCTCCTTCAGTTTGTCTTGCTCCTTCTGATACCTCTCCTGTTACGGGATGTTCAGAGAGCATTTGGGAGTGAGCACTGCATCCATCACTGGGAAGTTTCCCCTCTTCTATAGCACCATGCACAATGTGTTGTAAAACATTCTTCATGAGTGACCATTTGGAATCTAAAACATTCACCTCATAAGAAAGAAACACACTCTTGTGTCTTATTCATTCAAGTTAGGGACATGAGGGTTGAATGAGAAATGTCCCCCATTGGCTCCTGTATTTGGACATTTGGTTCCGGTTAGTGGAGCCGTTTAGAAGGTTTGGAAGCCTCGAGGAACACGGAGCTGCTAGGGAAGTAAATCACTCGGGTGGGGCTCTGGGGTTTTATGGCCCAGCATCACTTCCTGTTCTCTCTCACTCACCGTGGGAGTCATGACAAAAAGGTTAGGACAAAGTATGACGGAGAAGTAGAATGAGCCACATCGCAGTTCAGTTCTAGAGTAGCAGGTAGCATAGGATGTAATGAGGTTTACAGTATTTCTCTATGTGAGCGCTTGGGTGTGTGACGGAACCAGCGTTGGTTTTAGAGTTATACAGACTTGGATTTGGGTCCAGACTCTGCACCTATCAGCTGTGTGATATCAGGTAGTTAACTGAATCTCTGTGAACCTTCACTTCTTTGACTAAGAATGGGCTATTGATATGCGTTCCCGGCACACCCCAAGTATACAAACAGGTCAGTTTTGAAGGTCACTGGGTCACTTTGGACATGAAGCAAATGGAAGCATGTTGCATTCCTTCTCAGACTATTTCTAGAATTGATCGTTATCAGCTTTCACTGGGGAAAAAATGGGATGACAATTCTATAGAAGGAATTAGACCGATGTCAAATTCTATTCTATCAGAATGCTATCAAATTCTATTCTATCAGAATGCTATCAAATTCTATTCTATCAGAATGCTATCAAGTAGCCTTTGGGTAACTCATCCTCACTGCTCCTTGAGCTGGGACTTGGTGGCCGAGGAGGAATGAATGCAGGCAGAGTGACCCTCAGTCACTGCTTAGAGACATATTTTTAAGGCATCAATGTGAATGATCTCCCCTTCCCCACGGCAGGAAGAATCAGGTACAAGATTCTGCTGTCTGGACACAAAGCGTTGACAGACGCATGGGTTTCTGAGAAGAACTGGATTCCACGTTTCCTGGGCTAAAAAATCTATTCAATGTGGCAGACGTTATGAGGGGACAGTTCCAGAGCACAGGGAGCTCAGCAGGTCGGTCCTACCTGAAGCAGACGCTCCTGCTCCTGCTGCCATTTCTCCTGTCGCCTGCGCTCCTCTTCCGGGTCCCATGCCCAGAACTTAAACTGTTCAGGAAAAACAAACAAAGCAACCCCATGATCAGAACTGAGGCAGGTCATCAAGGGCTGGGCGGGGTGAGAGAGAAGACAGACAATATAATGATCAGTATGGCACCCAAAGAGCACAGAAATGAATCTTCGAAATCCAAATGTCCTCTTTGATGGCAGAAACCGTTTCCCAAACTTAACCCCCTTTTACTTTGATTTTAAAATGCTGGGCTGGTTCTATGCCTCTGTGCCTCCTATGGACAATGGAAAGAGGTGGATTAGCCTATGGATTAGCCATAGGGATGAGAAGGTGTTGCTCCAACTCTCCCAGAAGGATGTCTTACAAGCATCCATGCTCCCAAGCAAGATGCCCACGGTGCATGCTAATTCTGGCGTATGCCAGGACAAATGCATCATCTCGGAGCTAGTGTCTGACGCTCCTGAAGTGAACCCTTTACACCACTGTTGCTTCCTGTGGCAGCTTTTCCTAAAGTGGGTTACTATTACCCCAGAGCAAGGTGAGTGGAGCAGCCCAGAGGGCAGTATAGTAAATACTCAAACCCAAGACTGAGAGCAAGCAAAATCCATAGAGAATAAACACATGCACGCGTGGATTCTCTCTCTGAATCCATGGATTCTCTCCTTCCACTTTCCACAAACAGGAAGTGACTGTATCCTGTTGCAGGACCTTTTCCTCTCCATCTCAACCCAGGGGCACACGAATCCTTTGACATCCTTGCTGTAGATGTAGTTTAAGACAGAAGTCAGTGTGTTAAATCACCCTCTTCAGGTCTGTGTGCTGATGCCAGCTTTGGCATCATTCTGAGATTCTCAGTGTCCAGGAAACCCAGGATCCAAGACTGGCTGATGACTGAACCCTCACATATGGTTCCTAGCTGTGAACTGTGGCTGGAGATATCGAGGCTATGTGACAAGTGATGGTCCATTCTACATGGCCACAAAGGGAAAAATGTGCCTGTAATACTAAGTGGTACTGGCTATGGTAAGCATCTTGGACTGGTCACTGGAGAGGGAAGGATCACGCCAGTATCACGTACTGTATAGCGGCAATTATATAATGATTCTAATTAATACTCACAACTATCCTGAAAGAACACTATTTGCATCTCCCTGAACAGTCAAGTAGGATTAAATAGAGAGGATTTATAAATTACTTCCAGTATCATACATACTAGCCCAGGCTAGTAAACCTGGGTTCAAGGATAGAAAGAGACCAGCATGTTGTTTCCAGGCAGGACAGGAAAACAACCTCATATGATAATAATCTATGGCTTTTATAATCTACTTGGCAGCATTAAACTGTGGTTTCAAAATACAAATATTTGGATCTCAGTTTTGTTTTAGCATTCCTTAAGAAAATCAAATACAAGTTAAAATCACTCTAAATGCACAGCTTCGTCCTTTAAGAGGGAATACTTACGGGTGTGCTCACAGGGGACTTTTCACTGCTTGGAGAATCTGCTATGCAGAATAAAAGAAAGAAAAGAGGCCATCAGTGTGAGTAGCTTCCGACTTTGCTGGTCTGGTGATCGTCTCAGTTGAGTACAGTTCCTAAGTTAACTTTGTCAGTATTAGCAAACCACAATGAAGCAGAGCCCTGCGGCAGGTTGTGCCCATCACCAAAAGGAATGAAGAGAGGAACACATAAGGAAGCACCAGGTACTAGACTCTAGGAAGCTTCGGCTACAGCTATTAGTGCTGGCTCTTAGTACACCTTGCGTTCTGGCAAAGGACAGCTCCTCCACTGTCCAACATGGAAAAGTACCACACAGAGAGGCCAGGTGTCACCCAGGAAGAACAGAGTGTGACACAGTTAACAAGAGTTCCACCACCACTCTCGTGGCTTCTAATCATAGTTTTAAAGAAGGTAAAGAGCCAAGGGGATATAGATGGTGTTATTCCTCTGGCATCTTAAAATCGATATATAGTTCTCCTGATGAAATTCCTCCCGATTTTAGTACAACAGGTGCTGATATCAAAAAACAAGCTTGTTGTTAACTGTGTCACAAAGAAGCATCTCTCTTTAAAAATAATTGTCTAAAATCAGAAAGGAAGACAAATGTCAAATACCACTGGTTGCCCCAACATGGATTTTTACATAAAGAAAAGGCAGTGACCCAGGATGTTGTTTACCTGACTGGGAGAAAAACTGGGACCGTCGCCAAGAGTTCTGAACTCTCAGCGGGGCACTGCCAGGCAGCTCTAGATCAGATGGCAAAATAGAACAAACAGAAATCCATGAAACTGGGTGAGAACTGAGGAGAACACAACCCGTATGTCAAGGAAGGGGTCAGTTGGCATTGACCCAGGGATTGACCACCTCTGAACCTAACATGTAAAACATCTCACCAGAATACACGTAAAACCTGACGACAATGTGGACAGTGGGCTGTAGAACTGGCCAGTCTATGTTCTTGTTCTGTGGGTGCTGAGTGAAAGTTTTTAATGCCTGTACTTAGTAGGGATATATATATATATATATATTTAAGAATTAAAGGTCAAGATGTCACAGCAATATGCTATGCCAGAGCAACTCTAGGAAAATCTAAAAGGCAGTAGAGATGTGTAGTGGGCTTGTGATGTTTTTCACATCACATCAATGAAAGGGGGAAGTCTGTGGTTCGCTTCCTTTCAAACACACAGGCACAAGTCTGTGACAGCTGGAGGTGCCAAACACACAGAAGTTCTGGCAAGCATTTGCTCCCTCCATGCTGGGCTCTGCTACTTCCATTCCTGGAGCAATGAACAGTACAGGTTAAAGCTCATGTTTTATAGAAACAACTTGGACAAAGGAACTCTGTCAGCTTTAACTGTGTTTTATGAGAGGTTCCAGAGTGTTTAATGACCGTATTGACACACACGTGTGTGTGCTCGGGGGACCTGTGGAACTTTTTTCAGGTGGACAGGAAGATCTGCAGTGGCCTGTTTGAACATCTATAAATAGATGACTTTAAAGAAATTGGGGAGATACCAATTTCTGGGGGATAGAGAATTTATGAGGTGTGGCTCCTGGGCTTCTGGTTCCTTTGGACTGGAACCAGAATTCGTGTTAGTCACTTAAGTGTGTACTGACTTCTCGTATCTGGGCCATAACCCTCGACTTCTTTCACCCCACTCCAACTAAAGACAATCATGCCTTCAAAGGTTACATTTATTGGAGGTCTCTGGGTTCCAGAAAGACAGGCGCGTAGTCGAGTCTAAATAAGCATTAGTCTGTTGCATATCCATGTGCTATGTCCAGAGACACCATTTAAATAAATAGTTCAAGCCAGTGGCTTTCAGGTCGGGATTCCTGGGATGCCACATCAGCATTACTTGGACACGAGAACTTGCTGGAAACACAGATCCAGTATCTGGCCAGATCTATAGGACCAGACCTTGAGGGCTGGGAGCCAGTCCTGCAGGCTCTGGCACATGCTATTTCAAACCCTGTCACTGTCTTGTCAACGCCTTCTTTCTTTCTTTCTTTCTTTCTTTCTTTCTTTCTTTCTTTCTTTCTTTCTTTCTTTCTTTCTTCCTTCCTTCCTTCCTTCCTTCCTTTCTTCCTTCCTTCCTTCCTTCCTTCCTTCCTTCCTTTCTTTCTTTCTTTTCTATTTTTTTTTATTTAAAGGAAAGCATTCAAGAAGAGTTTATTATTCATGCCTAGCACTAGTGGCTGTATACTCCTACCCTTAATGCCATCACTCTACAATAACTAAATCCGATTCTCATAAAAACCAGCGTGTGGTTATTTGTACATGACGGGCGGTTAGATCTTGGGGAAAGCTGAGAGGGGAAGACCATGTGGCTAAGAGCTGGATGAGCCAAGTATGTGAAGGTGTCTTGTCTTCAGTGCTCACACTTAAAATCAGTGTTCAAGAACCATGCATCGTAACAGAACAAGTGCCTTGCCAAATCCAGTTTTCCTTTGAGGCATTTAAAATACTCCAGAACTATGGAATTTTATTTTTTAAACTATTCAACCTGGATAAAGCATGAAGTAAATTTCTTCAATTCAATAGCAATTTCTCAAAACCAGAGCGTCTTGTGGGATATATAAATATATGAGGCATCAAGAAGAATTGATATGACTTACATACTTACCCTAACTATATTTCTTATTCACATAGTTATAAAGTTATAAAGTGCTAGAAATAGAACGTAATGACAATGTCTAAATGTGACCAATCGGTTGACACAGCTGTGAGATCTTATCTTTATTCACTGTTTTCAGGACTGTAAGCCTGAAAATTCTGGGCCAGTGCTTTGGAGGAAGAACTGAATTTGCCTTTACATTGAGAGACTAATGTTAATTAGTGTGTGCACCACTTCGTTTCCACCAAATATTCCTTGGTTTGGTAAGAGATTCCCAAAAGCAATCAACAAAAGTTAACGGAGACCAGCTCACAGAGTATTAATGGTGACCCTACATAGCTGCCCACTCTTTAAAAAGAACTAATAATAAACCATGAACAAGGAGCTCTGTGCCATCCTCTCTGACAGATGTTAAAACACACAGGGGCAAAATGTCAACAAAGCAGCACATGGGACCTTCCAGTCCTGTCTCCCACATTAGCTGTTTCTAAAGGACTTGTTTTGGTGAAGCCTGGGTCTGTCCACCTCGAGAAATAATGTCAAGGATGGCAGGATTCCTGGCCTGCCATCTTCCCTGGTTCACATTCCTAAGGATCTTTTGCAGTGGTGTGGGCATCTGGGTTTCCCATGAGAATAAAGGGCATGAAGTTGGGTTTTTAAAGACTAAAAGGTGAGTTCATAAGCTATCTAGGGTCCACAGAGTGTGAGCAAGTACAATATGAAGACCTTCACAGGACCTCGACGCCCATTTTTCTAGAAGCTACCACCCTACATTATATCAAACACTAAGATATAACAAATACAATAAATACATTAAACACAACCCAAGCATGTTACATGTTAAACATATTAAAACAACCTTAGTGTGTGCATGTGATTACACACATACTGAAGGTGTATCTTTAATGTTTCATGTATTTTATTTCTCATTTTTGGAACTATTAAATGTTCTCACTATGCAGAATTTTTTGAAAGAGTAAACTTTTGACTTGAGTAAGTACTGTACTCATTACGTATACCCAGACATACTTTAGAACAAAAATATAACATTAAGAGATAAGCTTTTTGGAAAACAAGTTGAGTTTTCAGATGAGACAAGTTTGCAGAAAGCCTCAACACATATTCAAACCCTGTTCTACCCATAATGCCTAGCTACAGGGTAGACTCAAGTAGCTGGGGTTCCTGATGTCAATCAGAAAACGCATCTCAGCTTTCCAGTCTGAAATTTGTAGCTCACAGACTCTGATAAACCACACAGCTAAGGGAGCAGCACATGAAGGATGAAACCAGCTTTTCACATAAAGTGTACTTCACCACAGGCGGGCCCAGCAGACTCTGAGGAGCTAAGAGAGCCACCTTCCCTTACCTTGAGAATTTGGATTTGGCAAATGTAGTTGGTTGGTTTCAGGCATTTTGTCGAGAAATGGATACGTCAAGGTTGCTTCTGGCTCTGGGGATTTTGGCTTTGCCACCTGGACCACAGCAACAGATAGAAACATTAGGAAGCACGTCCAGCAATGAACCCACAGAGCTTACAGCACGACTATTTAAATAAGTCAGTAAAGTTAAACATTTAATTTTACAATAGAATTTTTTCCTTTCCTAATGACTTTTCACACTTTTATAAGTCAACAGAGTGGTTGGTTTTCCTTAGAAATTAAATAAGGGGATAAAAGCGTGGTGAACCCTCTTCTTCAACCTCAGAAGACTTGGAGTTTTTCCTCCCTGACTTTCCTCTTCTTCCCTCCCTCCCTTCCTCTGTCCCTCTCTCCCACCTTCCTTCCTTCCTTGGAAAGGGCTTTACTATGCATCCCTGTCTATAACTTTCTATGTAACTCAGGCTACCCCACCTGGCTATCTGAACTATCTACCTGGCTCTGCCTCCTGCGTGCTGAGGTTAAAGCCACTCACGTACCACCGGTCTAGGCTTCCGTTCCAGGTATTATACCTGGCTGGACTTGTCAGGAAATGGAACAACCCACAGACAATGATAAATCCCATCTCTGCTATAAGGCTACGCTTATAACAATGGCATTTTTAACGGGCATTATTCTAAAGACAGTATTCCACCCTCCCACAAAGTTATGCAACACACAATGTACTTTGCCTGTTGACAAAGAACTATTGCCCAAAATAGCTAGAACCAAATAGCGTCACCACGGGGTGTCCTTGGGGAGTTTGTGAGGCACATTAGATGACTTGTCCTTGTGGTAAATAGTTCTAAGATTATAGGCATTAAAATTCTTATGTTTGCTCTAAGACTTTTTGTATCATTGCTATTTATTTTTGTTTGTTTCTCCCTAATCTAAGGACTCTGAATAGAAGAACCTTCTTGCTGTCTTATTACTGTCAATCAATTTACTGCTAGAGGCAGATTGCTGAACATTTCAACAGTGCCTACGACAAAAGCCTAAATCTACACTGAACCGGAATGTAGAGTAGCTGGACAAGTCTGGGTTCTTTCTGCTTCTCAAAGGACTCAGCTATGAGTTGCTCTCTAGCTGGTAGCTGTGTTGTCCATGGGTAGTGTGACACTTGATGTCCTCAAGCTACGTAACATTTGTTTATTCTCTGCTGTGCTTTATTTTTCTTTATTAAGAATATATTCAATTCTAAGAGAATCCTGAAAAAAAAAAGTCGCTTTGGTCAGCATTACTCAACCAGATGGCCGTTATATAGAATTCAGCATTCAGCATACAGGTCTGAATTTCCCCAAAGTTCACAATATGCTAGTCTTTTACTTTTCTAAATATTTATTTTTACTTATAACTCTCTCTCTCTCTTTTGTGTGTGTGTGTGTGTGTGTGTGTGTGTGTGTGTGTGTGTGTATGTGTATGTGTGTGTATTCAGAATACAAGAACAAGAAGGAACTCTTTTGAACAAGAAGGAACTCTACCGGCTCAGATATTTGAATGCTTCTTCCCTAGTTGATGGAGTACTTTGGGGAAGGATTAGGAGGTGTGGGTTTGTAAGAGGAGGTGTGTCATTTGGGGTGTCGGCTTTGAGGTATCAAAGGCCCACAGCCAGGCCTAGTCTCCCTGTCTGTCTCTCTCCATGTCTCTCTGTCTCTGTGTGTCTCTCTTTCGGTCTCCCTCTCTGTCTCTCTCTGCTTCCTGTGTGTAGATCAGATGTAAGATCTTGGCTACTGCTCCAGAATGATGCCTGCCTACCTGATCCCACACTTCCCACTGAGACGATCATTGATGCAGCCTCTGACACTGTAAACAAGCCCCCAATTTAATGCTTTCCTTTATAAGTTGCCTTGGTCATGGTATCTCTTTACAGTGTGCAACCATGATGTGTGTGTGTGTGTGTGTGTAATGAACATACAATATAGATAGATTGTAGAGAGAACTATAGAGTGAAGACAAGTAAGAAAGCCAGCCCTCACACCTGCTGGCTGCCACGGAAGCAGTGTCTTACTGCTGCCTGAAGCCCTTTAACCTCTGGGTTTAACTCCTCCCTCACCGTGACCTCACCTTCTGTGACAATACTAACTCCACCTTCCCACTCATCTCGTTTTCTGGCTTCTTCTGGTCTTGTTCTTCTGGCACCTCATTCTTCAGCTGCGGGTTGGGCGAAAGCTCCACCAAGGCCACCGTTGGGCTGCACCGAGTCACGGTTGTCGTAAAATGCGGTGGCTCTGGAGGGTGGTCACAGGTGGAAACAGAAGAAGAAGGAAATCACACAAAGAACCATTTTTTTTTTCAAAGTCACAATGGCCATTTCATCAGAGTCCACCCCACTTCCTGATGACAAGCTGATTTACTACAGGTGAACACACAGCAAAGGGCCCAAGATGGCAGGATTCTCATCAAACTGACCTTCTACGAAAGACTGCTCGTAACTGTCACACACACCTGAGCAGCCTGTGACACAAAATATTTAATGATGGTGGACTGGGTAACAGAAGGTCCACAATCTCATCTGCGCTTGTGACTGAGTGACAAACTAACTTTTCCTTGCTGTGTATGCCGCCGTGATCACCTGCATGCCAGAGGCTGACTTCCTCTATTATGTCTTCCTCTATAACCTCACCTTATTTTCTGAGGCAGAATTTCTCACTCAAAGTGCAGCTCCCTTTCTCCAGGGAGCCTGGTGGGTCAGCAGGGCCCTGGGACCCACCTGTCTCTGCCCCCCTAGTGCTGGGGTTCCAGGCGTGGTGCTCAGCTTTCTCGAAGTTGCTGGGGCTCTTAGGTATATGCAGCAAGCACTTTGCCCACTGAGCTACCTCCCCAAGACTTTTCCTTTTTCAAACTACATTTCTTAACTGGAAAGGGTCTGGGATTGAGGGGCAGACAGATAGAATGCTGAGAAACAAGCTGTTCTCTGATATCTAGAGAATTAGATACACTTTAGGGGGGTGGAATTGGGGGAGGGGTGGAAAGATCACCCCACAAGGGGGTGTAACCGTGTGGAGGCCTAGTCTAGCTGGAAAATCTTATGCTATTGTTTTTAGTGATGGCATTTTTAAAATGCCACTTAAGAATAATTTGGTGTTAGGAAGAGGAGTTTGCATATTTAACAAAAAGAAATGTGTAGAAACTCTTATCAAAATATCTAGGACCTGACATATTCTACTATCAAGCCATACCACAATTATTATATCTATTTTGGTGTATGCCTTCTCTACTGCTGTCTGCTATAAAATGTGACCTTGAGGATGGTTAATCCTGGTTGTCAACTTGGCACACCTGGGAAGAGGGACCGTTGGTTGAGGAACTGCCTCCATCAGACTGGCTTGTGGGTGTGTCTTTGGGACATGTTCTTGATTGCTAATTAATGTGTGAGGGCCCAGCATTGTGTGAGGGGTGCCATCCCGTCCAGGCGGGTGTGGCTGCATAGGAAAGGTAGTTGAGCAAACTAGGGGAGACAGGAATCAGTGTCCCTCCATGGTCTCTGCTTCAGTTCCTGCCTCCAGATTACCGACTTGAGCTCCTGCCCCTTTGATGGATAAACTGTGATCTGAAAGCTCTAAAATAAAACAAACCCTTTCCTTTCCTCCCCCAAGTTGATGTTTATCATAGTTACCACAAAGCAACTGGGACAACCCAGGGTTTGAATCATTTCTCTAAAGGAATTAAGTATTTTTAATGGAGATTATTTTATTTTAGGAAATAAAATATCAAGAGTACACCCGCACAGGGACATAAAGTCTGGCTTCCTAGTTTCACAGGGACATTAATGTCACAGTCAGAATTTCTCCACACAGCCTCTAGGTGGCAGCACAACCACACAGAGCCTGATACTCCCCTTCAGTTTAGTAGGAAAACTTGGAATCTTTCTATCACAGGTCACCAAGGTTTACCTGAAAACCATCCCACTATGAAACAAACCTGCCGATTCCGGCTCTACATCCGGCGCCCCTGACCTCTCTTCACCGTCCTCATCCTCCTGGCCATTTGATTCAGTTTCCTCAGAGGCTGCCTGAAAGAGATTTTTTTTTCCTCTTGAATAAATCAAGCCTTCGAAAGTTCTAAGAAGCAAAAGGCTACTTTCTTAACAATAATTTTCAGGCCAACAGGCGGGCTGCCCATGGAAACTGTTTCCTGTTTCCAAGCAGCTCTATGTTAGAGTCTACTTTGTTGGAAAGAGACGTTTGTGAGTCTGAACAAGCAGGTACCAGCACGCTCACTCTCCCAAGTCCTCCTTTTCCCGCACACCCTCACTTCTTCCCTGGTCCTACAAATATTATAAAACAAAGTTGGACACAGGGGCCTGTGGCTCTGAACATGGTACAGTTTTTCCTTGAGGCTCTCTATAGATCTTATAGCCAGCCATTTTTTCTCTTTTGTTCTGACAGCTGGGAAGGTCAGCCTTCCCTCCCCTATTCTCCCACTAAGGGGTCTCCTTGACTTCGGTTCATTCACTGGCACACCACAAAGTACTCTCTCACAGTAGTGCCTCACAGCTGTTGGCTGCATGCTTTTATTTTTATAATAGTTAAAAAAGATTGCATCTCAACCTTAATGTTCAACGGATGGGGAATGGTTGAATGAATTACTTAGGACCATAAAGAGAAGTTGCACACTATACAGTCACTGAAAATCAGATGCTGAGCAGGCAGGGGACATTGCTCCGTGGGAGTGGGTACCTAGCATTCAGGATGCCCTGGGTTTGTTTGATCCTAAGCATTGTCAAAGAAGACAACAAACAAACACACAAGGCCTGCTATACAGCAGGGATGTGTGAAAATTACTGCTATTCAGTGTAGAGTTAAAACATTTAAGGTTCACATATACATAGCATTATGTCTGCATATGCAAGGTTGTATATATGCCTATGTACATATAAATGATATAAATGTATATCTTAGTATATACATTAAAATATACAATTTACACATTTATATACACAAGCACGTGTACACACACACATCTATGCCATATGTGTATATGGCATAAAGGCAAAAGGGGACTAAGTAGACCAGCGTGGGGGTGGGGGGATGGTGGCAGAGAGCAATAGGGGAGGAGAAACAGGAGCCATGCCCAGTGTATGCATAAAATGTCATTATGAAGCTCATTATTTTATTCTAACTAAAACAATAAAAATAGAAATGTACAACCCCAAGAAAATAGAAAATGTTAATAGTATTTTTTAAAAATGTGTTTACATTTTGGAATGGTTTTTCCCAATTCCTTACACACACTTTTATATGTTACAAGTGCTCTACAATTGGAAAACAATCAGCGTGGTTTCACACTATCTTCATGGGGAACTGACTCTAGAGTTACCTCCAAAGTTTTCGACCTCTTATCTTGGTTGCTCAATAAAAATAAGTGAAAGGTTAAATTAAACATATCTGGAAGACTTGTGCCAAAGACAGCAAGTCAATGGCTCTGTGATTTATTTATTTCTTTTTAGTAAAAGTTTTATGTAAAAGATTAAAGTTGAGTTTTTAGTGTGTATAAAACATTTCATAAACTTCAAAAGGTTTTTAGATAAAAGTTAATATTGGTTTTCAGAACAGACATTATTAAATACTTCATAAAACATCTCCAAGGAGAAAACCACCTCCTTCTAGTTGTCCTTGGCACCCATAGGCACACGATGTCATACTTGTACCCTCAGGCATACAGGCACACATATGTATATACATACAGACAGATACACATACATATATGCATACAGACGTGCATACATATATACATACATACACACATACATATATACATACATGCATACATACACACATACATACACACATGCAGATATACATATAAATGTATATACATACACACAAAATAAATGAATGTAAAAGTTTTTAATTAAAATATAGAATTTTAAGCCCAAACTTTTCAAACTTCTAAAAGATTTTACAATAGTATCTAGTGAGAAAAATGGACTTTTTCTTTTGGAGAATGGGGTATTTTGAAATACTCATAATTATTATGGAGTTTTCTAATGATGGACAATCATAGAACAAGTTGGAAAGAACATACTATCAAGGTAAAATGTATTCTCTTTCTTTTTCCGTACTGAGGATTCAGCAGAGCTTCCTATATGCAAGTGAAATAGTCCACCCCTGAGCCACAGCCCACTCTTGGTCCTTTCTCTCTGTCAAGTCAGGGTCTTGTTCAGTCCATCTTTGAACTCACTCTGTAGGCAGAAAGACCCTGCAATCCTCCTGCCTCAGCCTCTCAAACAGTTGAGACTTTAAACTTATACCTTGAGGCTGTCTTTAAAACCCCTAGGCAGGTCAGTTGTGGCGGTGCACAGGATCACAAGTTCAAGCCCTGCCTAGGCCAAATTAGTGAGACCAGTGAAACTGAAAAGCCCTAGGGATTAGAGAAACTGAGGAAGGCTTGCATGGCTAGCACAAGCCTCGGGGTTTGATCCTCAGTATCACAAAAAACAGAGACAAGCCATGCTCAAAAACATTGTCAATACGAAAAACACACAGAAAATAACCACCACATTAGTATTAATTAATGGATTTTTAAACATCTTGTAATCATACCAACAAGTTTGAATTGAATTCCTTTAAGAAATATGATGAATGAAAATAACCAATTAAAGTCTCTATTACACAGAGGTTTTACATATGTGTGTATATATGTGTGTTTGGTCATACATGTGTGTGTATGTTATATATATGGTATTGTGTGTATATGGTATGTGTGTGTGTGTGTGTGCACTCACATATTTATTGCAGTCTCTGAAAACCAGGCAGTCTAACATTTATCAAGGAATAATAAGGAATAAGTTAGACTTTTTCATTTGAAGTTCACTCTAACACTACTAGAAACATTAATACGCCATGGTAGTTTTGCTTTATGATATTAATATATAAAATACTGGCAGGACTACTGATTCTTAGCTTCCTTCTCCAAACATATTAAATTATAGAAAACTATCTAAAGCTGGAAAACAAATTTGCAGCTAACTACTGATGAACGAGCCTCTTGAGAACACTCATGTTTCCAATCACTAGAACAGAGCAACTACAAACAGGGCCCCGGATCTTAGAAATGAACAAAAAAACGAACATAATTTATGCAATTTAAGATGCCATCCAGTTCAAGCTGTGCTATTTCAGGCACTACTAAGAAAGAAAACACACCGTTTAACATGACCCACTGTGGACTGTCAGAGCAGCCTTGATTTGCAGACGTTGAAACACAGAAAGCGTGCCAGTGGTCGTGATGATCTAAGAGCATTGCTGAAGCCCAATCAACACAATGCATAATGCTAACAGGAAGCCATCCACCAGCATTAACTACTAGACCCGGGGTTATGTAACTGGCATATCACGACTCAGTAAATATTTTTGTTATGCATGGCTAACAGATATCTACCTTTGAGACTTCTCAGACTGCTAAGGTATTTTCTATACAGTTCATCCTGAAATGATTGTTAAGAACTTACATCCTGGTAGTCAGTATGGTTCAAGAATGGCTGTCATTCGGCAACCGTGATTGATATTTAGCAGGCACCATTGCTGCTGAGGCCCTTGACATGGATGACAGCATTTAACCATCAGGGTGAACTTAGGCAGCCTCAACACAGTTCCCTTCACAAAGGCTGAAGGTAAGTGGCTCGCAAGGGTCCCAGTACCAGGATGCAGGCGAGGTGGAAACCCTGAGCTGGGCCAATCCTCTCCTCATGCCATCCGTGGCCTTAGAGCCATATTTACCATTGGTAGTCTCTCAGAATTTAGAGTTTCTGACCCATAAGAAGAAACTAAGTACTTGCGACTTTCAAGTTCATAGCAGAAGAATCCAAACTGCCATTTCTAGTCCCTTTCTGTCCTGTACCAGCTGTTCATTATTCAGCAGAAGGTTAGCACTTCCTGGAATCCTTCAGGGCAGGAGGCAGTTCAGTCAGCTCCAGAGCAGCCAAGACTATACAGTCCCCAACCAGCCATTCAGAGTGCCAAGAGCGGAAAACAAATGTCGTTCTAAAATAAATGCACTATCTACGCACTCCATGCTCAAAAGCTTAGTTTAAATACATACTATTCACCCAAATCAAGTCATCACTAGCAAAATATTCAGGGGAAATTGGGGGGGAGGGGAAGAAAAGAAGGCCGTAACTCAACTTAAAAACTCTTTATATGCACCAAGAAAAAGAAGGGGCTATTTTAAAGCTATTTTTTAAAAATGAATTTTTAACAGTGGTAATGTAACAGGCACCTTATATTTTTCTATAAAGTTTTCTTAGTTCTGTAACACACAAAGACTATCTGTAATCAAGGGGAATTCCCAATGCTGGTTTAATTAACTCAAGTCTGGCTTCTCCATCCTGAATGCTTGTTATTTCTGTATTAATGGCATCACATCCAAGGAAATGAGTTCAAAGTTGGCAGTCTTAACCAGCCCTGATAGAATCAGAGGGTTGCTTCTAAAACACACACTTTCTGGCAAATGTGCCTTCTGACTCGTGCGTCTGTCCCTTTGGTTACAGCTCAGAAGATAGGTCTTCCGTCTTCCCACTGGAAAGTTTTTTCAAGGGTGAAAACAAACAAACAAAAACAGAGTCCTGGACGGGAATGAATGAGCACACAGAAGGGTTTGCATGAGGCTAAGGCAGGAGTTGGCTTCCCCTTCACCAAGAACTCCATCCAAACTAACCTCACCTCCTGACTCAGCCCCAAGACCACAGGCAAGAGGTGGCAGATTCCTGGCTTCAGAATCACATGGTTGAGCCACAAAAATCTACCTAGCTACCGGCTGCTCCCCTGAACTACCGCCTTGTCAGACTGGCAGAAAGCAATCAAAGGATGGATGGCAGCGTAAGGCAGAAGGGTAAGAGCCAGTCTGAGACCTAAGCTCCAGCTCATCATTCGACCTCTATTGTTTAAATGGTGATGCCCAAGGACCTTCCTGGGACTATTCTGGGATGGTGAGAGATTTTCAGGCTCCAGGCTTGACTAACTGGACGCAAGCCTGGAAAACCAGTGTATTTGTGTCCTGGCACTATGACCC